ACCCGCGCCGCTCCCCTGCCCCTCAGACCCCCGGCTCCGCTTTTGCCGACCAATTCCACGCCGCTCTTCTTTCTGCTCCTCGTGCACGTTCCTTCAACACGCAACACGTTCAGGGTGCGGGTAAAAGACGATGCATGGACACTAGCACCCGGTGCCACCACAGCTTATGGAAACGTCTCCTGCGTCCCTGCCCATCTCCTGATGCTGCTCACTGTAACCTTCTGTTTATCCAGAAACCACCCCGCTTTCCGGCCGGGATTTAAACTCGGCAGCGTTACGTGTATCACGCAACACCCCTGTCACATTCCAGAGCTCCATGGCTGTGGATGCGTAAAAATAAAAAGCAACGGTTGGAAGAAAGAGAGAAGGCTCTCGCTAGTTTTTCACGTATTGGTGATGGTGCCCTGTGTGTGGTTTTTATTCAGGTGGGTTGTTAACGCCCACTTGTAGGAATGTAACCGGCCCTGCGCAATTCTTCCTGTACTGCTGGAGGGACACATTAATGAGCTAGAAGGAGCTCCTATCAAAGAAAAGTTTTTTCCCTTTGCCGCAGAAAAGAATTAAAAAAAAAAGGGTAAATAAATTCTTCAGAGCAGTTTTGTGCTGCATGCAGTCGTTACCCGGAAGGGGTAAGTGCCTGAAGCAGCTGACCGCCCCTAGAGCAATGCTGCTGTTCGTCAGTGCAGATCTGACCACACTGACGTCGCGCGTCGAGGGCGACAAGCCGTCTCCTACAGTTCGTGCACCTCCATAGCCTGGGGTTGGGGCTCAGTGCCACGTTTGCTGGGGGGATTAACCTCGTTACACCAATTCTATAAGAACCGTTACTTACACTGTGTTTAATCTTGGTTGTTAAATATCACCAGCAATAATATTTGAAAGCAGTTTAATCTATGGCTTATACCCAAAAAGGAGTTTAGGGTTTAGCCCCTGACCGATGGTTAAGTCCAGGCCATGAACCATTCTGCAGAGGACAGAAAGCATGAACTTGCATTTCTGCTTGTGCTTCCTGAGATTTACTACGAAAATGTAAGTGGCTGAGTTAATCACTGCAGGTAATTTAGCCCTTTTTTTTCTCTCCTTGCAAATGACCCGTCAGCAAGGAGTGCAATTCTACTCTAAGGTAGTTACTACTATGAATACTACGAGCAGAGGACTAACCGCCAGATATTCCCAGCAGGCTTCCTCCCACCTCGGCCCCAGTGACAAAAATCCCGAACCGAGTGCGTTACGGCGCATCCCACCGCCCAGCTAACCCAGGGAACTCCACCTCCTCCATCTGCCGTCTCCTAAGCCTAAGGGGGGACGGACAGGCGGTTCCCCAGCGCCGCGGGCGGCAGCCTCTTCTGCCAGCTCCCCGGCCGACACGCGCATAAATCCAAACCACAGAGAGGAACTTTTGGTTTTTCTTTATGAATCAAGTCCTTGGAAAGGCATTCTCTTCAGAAATCGCTTTTACTCCTTTATAATTTCTCTTGACAGTAATTCTTGGTGAGTATGCAGGTAACAACAACAAGGCAAGCTTAATATTCACTCAGACTTAATCAAATAGATCATATAGTCTTCATTTTACCCATTAAAATATTTTCGTTTATAAAAATTAATCTAAATATAAACACTAAAGATTGAAATCACTTGATGACAAAATAATTCTTTGTGTGCTATAACATATGTTTTTATGATCTTTTTAAAACAGTAAATTATATCTCTGCACATATTTGGCACAATAAACATCTGTAAAAATTCAAATGCCTTCTAGCAGGTGAGATTTTTTAATATTTTTTGATTTTGCTTTTTTTTTTTTTCAATGCCTACACAGTACACGTTTTTCTGTCAAAGAAGACTGAATATTTTAACATTGTAACACGATAATAGTTGCTGCTCATGCCTCTTAAGGAAAACAACTCATTCCAAACTTTGTTGGCTTGTTTAAATCACACTAACAGAACAAAAGCCAAAGAGTTATTCTATTAAAATCAGTCATTTCTGTATTGATATTACATACACAATATTAGCTATTATTTATTAGACGAATATGTAGACCAGCCACCAGCAGCGACACTTCAGAATACGCATACCTGCATAAACCAGAGCCTGGGAATGTGTCGTATACATACACGAGAACAGTCAAGGAAGGAGGAGGAGATGGGATAATAAAAAATGACTGGGCATCCTACTCTGTTTAACCTCCTTTACTGGATTGCATATATAAATAAAATCTATCTGTTTTATATATATATTTATATATTAAACAGAGTGGGCCGAATTCTGCCCTCACATCTGTGCAAACCAATGTCAGAGAATGAGTATTGTGTGAAAGAAGGCATAATTTCACCCAGAACAAACACATCGGGTTGGATCTTGGGCAGACGGAAATTCCTTGAAGGGACGGAGTGACGCCTGTGTGTTCTAAGTGGGAAGAAGGTTGTATTCATTCCGAGCGTTCCTTACATGCAGCTGGACATCAGAGTACTGGCAAGCTAGATGTCAAATGTGGGTGGCCGATTTGCAACTGGCACTGTTTTTCCAACCGTCCCATCCAGCCATTCCTCACCTTCCCCACCTGCTCCCCCCTAAACCCAGCCTAGCCAGGAAATTTGCCCGGTTTCGCTCCTATTTGCCCAACCACAGACATCTCATGGCCTGGTGTGCCAGGGGACTGCGTTCCTGCCGCACAGCCAGGAGCGCGTGGCACTCTGCTAGCACGTCTTCGCCAGGAGCCCGGGGAAAGGAGCAGCTCTCCTACTTCCCTGGTACCCACTGCCCTCGGGAGCGCTCACCGCTCCTCCGAGCTGAGGGGGAGGGAACCTGCCAGCCCGTGCCCTCCTTCGCAGCACATTTCACTTTAACCCAGCTGGGCATTTGCGTGCGACATCGAGGACGCGCTGGCTCATCACCTCCTCTAACCACCTCCTTCGTATTCTTCGCAGCAAAAAGTACCACCAGCCAGCAATGCCCTCCCCAAAAAGGGTGAGAGGGACATCCTGTAAGCAGCATCTTCCCTCCTGGGCATCCTGGGCCTTCCAGTTTGGCTCACCTTTTAAAGGTCTCAGGAAACAATCCAATTCAGAGTGGTCCAACAGTAGTGGGGTACACAGGGCCCCAACAACAGGCCTCAGCTACTCTGCCTTGGCTACATAGTCAAGGGTGAGATGTCTGGGCTACGTTTATCCCCTCCTCAGAAAAGCCAGGAAGCAGCCGAAGGAAATCTCTCCCAGGCTGCAGCCACCCTACAACCACCAGCCAGTCAGCAGAGATCTCATCCGCGATGCTTTTACTTTCTTTCTCCAATCCTAAAAGATTTGGTCAGCATTTACGCTGAACGACAGCGTGGCTGGACACCACCACGCCGACGATGCTACCGAGAAGAACGAGACGCGCAAAGGCGTTGGCTTCACCACCGCGTTGGGATGTTTCCAGACGCCAGGACTGTAACTCAGCAGACACCCGGTCCACGTGTGCCGCCCCCAACTCGAGGTTCAACGGGACATCCGTGTTCCCCCGGCCGCCAAGAGCAACATTCCTAGCTCTGGAACAAGAACGTTAACCTCGCCAAACGTAGCCCCCCACCCCGTGAACACGGAAGCCTTTGCGCATCGCGTTTCCTCCTACAAGCCCTGTCAACACTGCCGCTGACTCCCGGGGAGCAGAGCCGGGCACGCCGATCCTCCGCTCCCACCGCGCAGCTGAGAAGCCGCGGACGCTGCACGGAGTTGTTCTTATTGCTCGACAAGATGGATGCCTACGTGAAGAGTAAGAGGCCAGCAAATATGGATCACGGGTCTGCTTTGCTCCTTTTGTACGAAATACTGGCCTGTGATGACGACTGACCCAAGTGTACAAAAACATACTGCAGTTGAAAGACGACATACTGGAGTACAATCAGTAGGGAGAAAAAGTGCATCTTAAAATGTGGAGCCTTGCTTTTGAAACTCAGCATCCTTTCTAGAGTCTTGTGAGAACTTTAAGGCAGAGTTTCCTTAGCAGACCACAATGCTGAAGACTTGGACAGCTTTCTCAGTGAGGTATCCAAACGCAGCCCTATAACTGAGGCATTGTGGGTTCTTGAGGGTCCATTTTTGAGCTGGACATACACAATGGCTGTTGGGTAAAGGCACTCTCGTGTACAGCCTTAGGCAGTGTGTTATTGGCAGTAGGGAAGTGTAAGTTCAGTACATCACAGCAGATCCTAGAGCAGGTTCCTAGAACAGAGAGGGACAGGAAAGCAAAAAAAATATGAGCGAAACACAAAGCCAGCTTGCTGGAGCTTCTCACGAGCCAGCTCCTTCCCTTTCTCACCTCCCCACCTGTTTCCCACGTATCTAGTGGGCAGACAGCTTCAGGACAGTCAGCCTTTTTTTTCCTCATCCCTCTGTGGCTGCTGTAGAAGAAATGATTGACAGCTGTCTGGTGGAGCCTGTTTCTTCACACCCTGCAGAGCCAAAGCGTGGCTGACCTACCCCTTAAATTCCACTTACTTTTCTCAAAAATCAGCGAGGTTCAAGGTGGCTCTCACCAGCTCAGTTACAGCGTGCAGCCGGTTCTGGTTCAGATGCTTGAATTGCAGGGGACCACTAATTCATTAATTGTTTTAAAAATAAGGGTAGCAGTTTCCTGGAGGCCTGGCAATCTCACTCACACCGGCTGACGTTCAGGAGCTGCTAAACATGGTATAAAGTCGGACATCTCCCAGGACACCGGTCGTATTTGTTCAGAGCTGCCTCCGCAGCCTCTATTCCTCAGGGCATTAGGAGAAGTTTGGTGAAGATGCAGAAATACAGCCCCCTACACAGATACCCCTACCCCTCTATTTACTGCTCTTAAAAAACATTTGTTACGAGGTTACCATTAAGTCCTTGGCAGTGCTTTTCCTCTCTTTAGTTCTTTGCGTTAGAGATCCTTGGAGCATGAAGTTTCTGTTAAACGTTCTGACGGTGGTAACTGGAGAACCATCTATTTTTTCACCTGGGAAAAAAACATAAAGGGAGATTTTTCACGTAACAGGTAAGCAGATGTAACAATACTCATGTAGAGCCTCATCTTCCAGAAAGACAAAACTTCCCTTGACTTATATGAGGAAAGCTGGATTTAATTTAACTGAAAAACAGCAGGCTGTGACTTCAAATTTATTAAAGTTTGAGGCCATGCCCATCAGTGGAATAACCCAAGAGTAAAAAAAGAGCAATGCAAGGTGAAGCAGGCAATTGTCAGCGACAGAGCTGTCAGAGATAATGCACTGCAGGACTGAAAAAAACCCCAGAAAACAAAGAAAAGACGTGAAAGAAAAAAGCACTTTGTTTGATAAAGCCAATTCACAGCCACACTCTGACATACCAGGAACACCGCTGAGCCACATCACACGGGCTGAGATCGGCACACACGGGCTTTAAGAAAGCAGCGGCGGGTTGTGGAGGGTGGCAAATGGCTTTGGGTCATTAAACGCTGCGACTGCTTGGGCCTCACAAACCAACCCCAGGCACGCTGGAGCAGCAGCATCCCTGTGGCAGGGCAAGAATTCAGCATTCCTCGTTTGCTTTTCCCCGCCATCTGCTCCTATTAACTTGCCACTGTCACAACTTGCACTCAAGAGAAAGTGGCGATGTTTTTTAACGTGACAAATGGGTATTTTATGTAATGAGGGAAAGGGAAACGAGGAAGGTGGACACATTTAGGCCTTCTCTGTTTCTTTTGTAACTTAATCTTTCCCCTACTTTGCTGAACTGTACGTCATATTGAACCTTAAAAAGACTCTCTCTAATGTATGGAACAACTTAAGTGCACCTTTTGTGGGTGGAGCTGGAAGTTTTCTCCTCTGCTGTCTTGACGTGTCTATGGTGTGCATCTGTAAACAACACACACGCGTTACTCAACTCCATCACGGACAAAGAGGCAAGATTTCCCCAATGTATTTTTGAATACTACATAATGTTCTGGCACCTGGTTTGTTTGCTTTTGATCCCGTTTCCTTGTCAGGCGAACACATGGAGCCACGTTCAAGCCTGCAACAGTGAGAGCTGATATTCTGCTCTCAATATCTGAAATCTTTAAAGAAAATAAAAGAGAGAGACAGACAGATGGGGAGGGGGAAAAAGAAGTTTTAAAATTACTGTGGATGCCACTACTAACATACATCCCTCCCCCAGTCCTCTTTAATCAAAAAATATAAACAGATGGCAATTTGACACTTTCCTGTACTCTTTACTCCTGATGTTAGAAGGGACTTAACCTGTTAGTAAAGACGGAGTAAAAGAACAATCCAACCTACCTTGTGACTCCAAGGAAGAGGCATTCTACTCCTTTTGAGGGAAAAAAGATAGGAGGAGAGAAATGCCCCATCTGCCACCTCCCAGTTACCTTAAGCTGCATAATCCCAAATTCATTCAAGCTGAGTTTTTCAAAGGCTACATTCAAAGAATGACTTTGTGGCACATATTTCCCAATTCAAAATTAATTTCATGCGCATCCAAAGTACATCCTCCATCACAAAATCTAAACATTTGATCTTAAATATTTGCAATTTAAGTCTATCTGTATGTTAAACACAGACATGCATAAATACTACATAAAAACACTCAATGGAAAACGAATTTCTAGGGAAAAAAAATCCAAGGAAGCAAACGTCGGTGGGGAAAGTAGGCTGATGTTGAGACTAGCGGAAACAAATGTTGCTGAAAGGGAACGAAGCGTCAGAGGAGTCAGACATACAACCTGCCTCCTGACTCACCCATGACACCTGAAGCTGTCCACTCTGCAGAAGACCTTCCGCTGCCCTCTCTGTCAGCCTCCTTGCATAGCTCAGGCCTCTCCGCCCCTCACCTCTCACCCCCATTGACAGACTGACCCTAAAATAATGACTGAAGCCAACAAAACACCACTGCCAGTTCGCCATGTGGGGCAGCAATGCACTTCTGACATCAGAGAGGTGTCAGACACCCCAGGTCTTTGCTCAGTCCTAAACCGAGCATGCTTCCTCTGAGTAAGGTAGCCAGGTACTGCCCAGTCAAGCCTGGATAAAGCCCGGCACAGGCAGGTCAGAGTGCCTGCCTTGGTACAGAGGGGTCAGCGAGATCACTGGCAGTGAGCTGGCAGCAGCGTTAGCCCCCGGAGGTCTGGCAGAATTACCTCGTTCAGTTTTTACATCATGAGGTGTGCTGAGCCCCAGACTTTCTGGAGCTCGCTACAGAGAAGGTAGATCGCAGCCCACGAGCCTTTCGGCTGGGGTGCATGTGGCTTAGCGGCTGAATCCCAGGGCAGCCTTGCCAGTGCT